AAAGGCCGACCTCGGATTCTGGCTCTACCGAGGAGGAGGAGGCGGAGGAGGGATGAGGAGGAGGAGGAGGCGGAGGAGGACTGAGGAGGAGGGGCGGAGGAGGAAAAGGAGGAGGACCAGTGCAAACCCACGGCACATCAACGATGTTGCGATCAACCCCTCCTCCAAGTTCCCTCTTCATAGGGATCCAAGGCGCATCAACGATGTTGCTCTCCAAGTTGTCTCTTCATAGGTCCTTGCAAGAAATTGTTTTCATTACGGGAAGTGCCCAATTGCAAGACACCCGTCTGAGAATCCTCACTCGTCCCATAACGCCGCTCTTGGGACTTCAGCACCGCGAATCAACAGTACTGTTGAGTCCTAACAATCCGTAATCGTGCCAGAACACCATTCCCAGGACTTCAGCCACACAGATTCTTGAACCTGCTGCACACATTTAAGACGAACGTGCGCGGCGCTTCTGCGAGAACCGTATATTGACAAGGGAACCGCGCTCCACCTTTGGAGCTGTTGCAAGCTTGTAAGACGAATGTGTGCGGCGATACGGCGAGAGCCACATTTTGAAATGGAGCCGCCCTCCATTCTTGAAGCTGTTGCACGTTTTCAAGGCGAGTATGCGCGGCGCTGAAGCGCGAGCTACATTTTGAAAATTGCCCGCCCTCCATCCTTGAAGCTATTGCACATCTTGAAAACGAATGTGCGCGGCGACAAGGTGAGAGCTACTTTTTCAAAGTGGTCCCCCTCCATCGTTTTTTTTTTTTTTTTTTTTTTTTTTTTTTTTAAACTTCAAGCTTCAGGGTCATACATAGTCAGGAATCACCATGCGAAACGCCCAGCCCGCCCTACCAACACTTTTGAGGAACTTTCTATCAGAAGAGGAGTTCAGGAGGAGCAGGAGGAGGAGGAGGAGGAGGAGTAGGAGGAGGAGGAGGAGGAGGAGGAGGAGGAGGAGGAGGAGGAAGAGGAGGGGGAGCAGGAGGAGGAGGATGACATGAGGAGGAGGAGATGGAGAAGGAGATGGAGGAGGAGGAGGAGGAGGAGGAAAGGAGGACGAGGAGGACAGGATGAGGAAGAGAACAGGGCGAGGAGGACGAGGAGGAGGAGGAAGAGGAGGAGGATGTGAAGGAGGAGGATGAGGAGGAGGAGGAAGAGGAGGACGAGGAGAAGGAGGAGGAGGAGTAGAAGGAGGAGGAGTAGGAGGAGGAGAAGGATCATCGATCATAGTAGAAAGCTCGCGAAGTCCTGCCTGTGCTGCCTGCCTTGCTAGGTGATTGCTCTTATCACGGTGAACTAATTCGAACGCACTAGGACTCTTAGGTAGGTTGCTACGACCCCCACTTCACACTGTAAAGGTGGAGCCCTCGCCCACCCCAGCAAGGGCAGTGTCCCGTCCGACACTCCCACGGGCACGCAGCCCATGAAGGGAGGACGCTCGCCACTTTCGAGGGCTGCTTTGGGGGGCAGCATAGTGGGTGGTAGCCGCCGCAGACCCAAATTAGACCTCGCCATCCCTGGGGGGCTGCGATCTGCGAAACCGTCGCCACTTTCGAGGGCTGGTTGGGGGGACAGCGTAGTGGGCACCCGCCGCGGACCCACATTTGACCTCGCCATCCCTGGGGGGCTGCGATTTGCCAAACCGTCGCCACTTTCGAGGGCTGCTTTGGGGGGCAGCATAGTGGGTGGTAGCCGCCGCGGACCCAGATTTGACCTCGCCATCCCTGGGGGGCTGCGATCTGCGAAACCGTCGCCGCTTTCGAAAGCTGCTTGGGGTGCCGGCGTCGTGGGCACCCGCCGCGGACCCAAATTTAGACCTCGCCATCCCTGGGGGGCTGCGATTTGCCAAACCGTCGCCACTTTCGAGGGCTGCTTTGGGGGGCAGCATAGTGGGTGGTAGCCGCCGCAGACCCAAATTAGACCTCGCCATCCCTGGGGGGCTGCGATCTGCGAAACCGTCGCCACTTTCGAGGGCTGGTTGGGGGGACAGCGTAGTGGGCACCCGCCGCGGTCCCACATTTGACCTCGCCATCCCTGGGGGGCTGCGATTGCCAAACACGTCGCCACTTTCGAGGGCTGCTTTGGGGGGCAGCATAGTGGGTGGTAGCCGCCGCGGACCCAGATTTGACCTCGCCATCCCTGGGGGGCTGCGATCTGCGAAACCGTCGCCGCTTTCGAAAGCTGCTTGGGGTGCCGGCGTCGTGGGCACCCGCCGCGGACCCAAATTTGACCTCGCCATCCCTGGGGGGCTGCGATCTGCGAAACCGTCGCCACTTTCGAGGGCTGCTTTGGGGGGCAGCAAAGTGGGTGGTAGCCGCTGCGGACCCAAATTTGACCTCGCCATCCCTGGGGGGCTGCGATCTGCGACACTGTCGCCACTTTCGAACGCCGCTTGGGGTGCCAGCGTCATGGGCACCCGCCGCAGTCCCAAGTTCGACCTCGCCGTCCCTGGGGGGGCTGCGATCTGCGAAGCCGTCGCCACTTTCGAGGGCTGCTTTGGGGGGCC